TCTCTTGTGTATCAATGATGTAATTTGAGGGTGTTTTAAGCAAACCTAGGGCTTGGTTGAGAGATGAAAAGAAGGGTTTTGGGTGAAGGTGAAATAAATGATTGTGGGGTTTGAGATTGATGTTGTATTGTGTCTAATTTAATGATTTTGGCATTTGATTAATGTTTGGGGAAAATGGGTTTTTGCCCTAATTAAAACGAAACTATTATTTTGTATAGATAATTGAGGTTGGCATTGAAAATGTGAGATTGGAGGGATATTGGTATGAATTATGGGATTGATTATGTATTATCTCAATCTTTGGAAATTTTGAATAAGTAATCTGTTATGAGATTGTATATCTGTTTAGAAATATCTGTATTGGGCTATCGGTGGAGGATAACTTTGCTTGTTGTAGAAATTACATGCGGATTAGGTGAATTGAAAATAATCTCTTGTGGTTGCCATTGAATATGACTATGTTTATATACATTGTATATGTATGATTATTTCGGAGTGGAAATGGGATGTGATCCACGTATGACTATGTGTTTAAATACATTGCATATGTATGAATGATTGTTTGGGAGGAGAAATGGGATGGACTCTATTATAATTAAGTTGGTCGGAGTGTCCTGGGTGAAAGTCTTGAAATTATACATGGGTGCCGATCCCGCGAATGAAATATCCGTAAAATGGCAATTATAGTGCTTGTATAGCCTACGTTTACATGGGTCCCGTTTGACGGTTTCCCGTGGACGAAATATCCATGAAAGGAAAGTTTGAAGTGTTTATTCATTGATGATGTGATTATAGAACTAATGAGTTGTAGTCACATTTGGGTTATTAAGAAACGATGAAATTGGCTCATGTTATGAAATGAATTGAATGGAAATGGATTAAGGATTGAATTTGGTATCTTATGACTATATAAAATGTGGATGTTCTATCACTAATTTTGTATATGAATAGCGTACCTATACCTTTGCTAAGTTTTATATACTGTGTTAGATGATTTCTACTGGGTTGTGACTCACCCTATTTGGAGATAACATTTTCAGGTATTGAGGGCATGCCTCCGCCAAGACAATAACTGTGAGGGACTTTTGGAAGCACGAGCGTCCTGTTTTGATTATATATTTTTGTATAGCCAATGGTTTTTTTTTGTAGGAGCTAGTCTCTCTGGTGTTGTAACCAAGTTGAGGCTTGAAAAGGTGTAAGTCGATAAGGCATTTATTATGTTAAACTCATTTGTATCATTAACTTCATGGAATGAAAGGACTATTTACTCTTATTTATACAGTCATTATTTATGCTTGGGTTATAATTATTGTATTATTTTGAGGGTGTTACAGGTCCTTTTTGCACTCAAGCATTGGTCTATTGTCTGCAAAACTACTGGGAGTGTGCATTCTACGCTCGAGCGTCACTTTCTGCGCTCGAGTGGAACAACTTATTGTGTCTGACCCTCGAGTGTCAACTCTTGCGCTCGAGTGGACTATGCGTATATCAGTTTGTAACAGCCACTTTTTACATCATTTTTTCATCTCTTTCTCTTTCTAAAACATTTCAAAACCTTAGATCTTGAGCTTCTCTCTCTAAAACTCACATTTTCTCTACATTTTTACCTAGATCCTTTGGTTTCTCTACCCTAGATAGCTTTGGAAAAAAGGTAGAGCATCTCAAGAGCTCCATTTTAATTCGAACAAAAGTCGGTTTCGGCATCATTGAAGTTTTCTCCTTGCTTTACTCGTCTTCTAACTTTGAGGTAGGGGCTTTCTACACTCTCCTATGACTTTCAACTTAGTTATTTGTTAATTGTGTAAATAATGTTGGGATTAGAGGATTTTAGACAAACTGAGGGTTTTGGTTTAAAATCTAAAGAGGGGTTTTCAAATGAAAGTATTAAAAATGGTTATGGGTGTAGATATGAGGTTGTGTTGTGTTAAATTTTTTGATTTTGACACATGGGTTGGGTTTGGAAGAAAATGAAGCTTTGCCCTAAATGTTTCAAGTAATTATTTTGTATAAATAATGAAATTGGTATTGGGAATGTGAAATTAGATGAATGTTTATATAAATGACGGGATTGGATGTGTATTGTCTCTCACTTATAGAAATTTGGATAATTTATTTGTCTTAGAGATTGTATATCTGTTTAGAAATATCTGTTTTGAGCTACCAGTGGAGAATAGCTATGATTGTTGTAGAAATTGCATGAGGATTAGGTGAACTGGAACTAATCTCTTATTTGTTGTCATTGAATATGACTTGTGTTTTAATACATTGAATATATATGATGTTGGAAGGAGAAAGAGGATGTATTCCATGTTTGGGAGAAAAAAAGGGGATGAATTCCATTGAATTAAGTTAGCCTGTGTGTCTAGGGTGAAAGTCCCGAAAATCACGCATATACATGGGTGCCGATCCTGCGGACAAAATTTTCGTAAAATGACAAATTTGAAGTATTTGTGTAATGATTGTATTGGTTAGAAAACCACTGAGTTGTAGCCTCAGTTGGGTTGTCTGGATAACAATGGGTTTGACTCATGGATTGAGGTGAAATGAATTGACATGAAATTATATAAAATGGCTTGAAATATGAAACTTGGCATATTATGATCTTGTAAGAATACGAATGATTTTATCATGAGCATTGTATATGCATATCATACTTATATCTTTGTTAAGATTCATATTTTGTACTAGATTATTTCTATTGGGCTTTGACTCACCCTACTTAGGAAAAACATTTTTCAGGTGCTGGTGATATGCCTCCGCCAAGGACTTAGCTTGGGAGGATTGTGGAACTGAAGGCTCACTTTTGTTTACTTTGTATTTATCTTTTGTACAAGCCTAAGGCTTTACCTGTATTGAGCTTATAACTCAGTTTTGTTGTAACCAAGCACAGTCTTGGAAAGGTGTAATCTTTTAGGGCATATAAATATTTATTTAGCTTTCATACCTTATTGCTTCTTGCAACACATGTTGTAAATTCAGGATGAATGATTTATGAATGTATATCGCATGTGTCACATTTTGTATATTAACTAGGATTAATGAAAGCTTCTTATGTTATTAATATCACTTTGCACTAGTGTTTGGAGTTGGATTCTTGTATTTATTTTGGGGGCGTTACAAGTACAATCAGATATATCAATACAGTAAAATTTAAAAAATGTAGGGTACGTGTAGGCCTTAGTACGTTTGTACAAAAATATTTATTTTTAATTTAGAATAATGTAACAATTTGATTAAATAGTTTAATTTGCTAAGATTCAACCTACAATTACCGTTTAATGCCAACAGTAAATGTATAGATCAAAATTAAATATTATTATATTAAATAACTTACAAACTATAACTTAATTTTAAAATTATACTAAGTATAAAACTAAAAATAATAAAAAAAAAATTAGTTGAAGGAATTTTATCTATGTAATAGAAGAACATATTATTTGATTGAGGTATGATTAGGGCTGACTTTGAGCATAAGTCAGCGAAGCCACCGCTTTGGGCCCCAAAAAATTGACTAAAAGAAATGTCCCAAAATTTTGTTAACTATCATATTAGTCTATAAAAAAAATCTCACTAGAAGGGCCTCAACAAAATCCAGTTATGAATTAAAACTAATAAATGGTTGAACAGGTAAATTATTAAAACTAATAAATAGTAGTTCTTAACCTAAAGAAACCAAAAAACTTATTGATGTGATGAATTCTTTAAAATTATTAAATGATTATTTGCTAAATGTACATATTATTTATAGAATACAATTGACTATATACTTATAGTTGCTCTTTTAAAATTAAAGTTGATTAAATATTACCTTTGCTCAACTATCTCAAATAAAATATTAAATGAATTAGCAAATTTTATCCATAAAAAATGACTTAGCTTATAATTTGGGTTATGCAAACTAGATCAATAATTTTATAGCTAAAAATGCGAGAAGAATGAAATTTAAGTGATTTTTGTTACAGTCTGTTTAGTTTTTGTTTCATATTTCAATTTAGATTATTTTGGTCATTTTTCTTATTATAAACTTTAATATATATTTAAGTAAATTTTAATAGATGTATACTGGAAGTAACATTTGTACAAGTATTGTCAAATATATATACATATATATAGTCAAATATATATATATATATATATATAAATTTGACAATTTTTTTTTTCTTTAATATGTATGAAAGGCCCCGTGTTGAAAGTTTGCTTTGGGCCCCAACAAAGTCGGAGCCAGTTCTGGGCATGGTATGGTTTGGATATAGATTAGGTACGTCAAAAATTAAAAAGAAAAAATTTAGGTACCCGTTTCGTGTAGACGGTACATATGCAAAAGTACCATTTGAAATGTTATAGCTAATAAGTACCCATGCTTCATAGACTATAACTAATTGTATATTTCTCAAATATCAAGGTTAGTGTAATTTATTTGCTTTGGGCGAATTACAATTACATTTATGATATTTGCTTAAAATATAAATTATCTTTATAATTTTAAAAATTATATCTCATCCCTTGAAATTTTTATTAATTTCAAAACAAATAATTCCTTTTTATTAATATATTAACAAGTCAATTAATAATTTTTAATGATATAAGAAATATATTTTAATTAATAATTCAAATTATTTTATTATTATATAAAAAATAGTTAAAAATTATATTTTTTAATTAATTTTGTTAAAAAAATGTGCCAAAAAAATATTTCTAAAATTTCAAATTATAAACAACAATTCTCATTTTAAATAACGATAAATTTATATTTGTAAATTAACCTTTTTTTTTTCTTTTGGTGAAGTAAATGGTATAATTGACTTGACCCATTTTTCTTATTTCGGTCAGACTTATCATTCACGTTCGGTTCAAAAACAAAAATCCAATAATAATAATCCACGTCATCAAAATTCCACGTGTAACAATTTAATTCGTCCAAACCTCCACACCTTACGTGGCACCCTGCAAGAACCTTCGTCTTCCTTCTTCACCGAATCACTCAAAAACCCCCATTACTACAGACTCCTCAGAGACTCTCAACACAAAAACACACACTCTCTCTCTCTCATACACACGCATTTTGAACTGGAATCTCGCCGGCGATTGTTCGGTTCCTCTGCCGGAGGCTCCGAAACCAGCCTCTCCAGCCGTGGCTTCGTCAGGGCAACAACAACAAAGCCTTTCTCGAAGAAAACCCTCTTCCTCTTCTTCATCGTCTTCGGCTAATCGGACCGTGATTTCGGGTCGGACCCGTATATCCTACAGAGAATCCGCGAGCCCGTCGTCGGATTCGGATCTTGAATTGCCCTTCTGGCAACAGACCTGGTTCATTGTTCTGCTCTTCGTCATGGCTTTCTCTTTCTTCGCTCTCGCCATCTTCCTCTTTCTCTCTCTAGACTCCGATTACACTTCCTCTCCTGTTTACGCTGCCTCTGAGGGCGTTCAGGTAAACTAACAAACTCTATTATATTCACTTCATGTGTGTAATAATAATATGCATGTGTTGTGATATGTGGTGATTGCATTTTTAATTGTTTGATTAGTTTGAATTTTGGGGTTATCAACTGTTTTTTAGCTTAGGTTTCCAGTAGTTGTCTTTGATTATGATATATGTGAAATAAGATTACGAAATGAATAATTTAATTCATAATTTGAAAATTAAAACATTTTATGAATCTAAAAAGACCAATAATTGAGAGATTTGAAATAAATAAATTCGTAACTGCGCATGTAATTGAAAAAAAGAAAAAAAACACTGAATTTAAGGCATAAGAAATGCAAACGAGCCGAGCAGAGGTTTAGTATGTTTCAATTTATTTATTAATTTGTTTATTAAGATTTTAACGAGTTCGAACTCAATAAAAACTTAACTTGAGTTTGAGCATGTTCATGAGTTTTAACGAGCTAAAAAAATCATAAATTTATGTGTATGAGAGTAAAGTTACCATTGAAATTTTAGTTATATAATTATATATATAATATATAAAACATACTAAAAGAAAAGTCAATATCTTACCAAAATAATAATATCTATCATCATTATATAAATGTATTATTTATAGTTAGCTATTATTTACATTATTTAAATATATAAATGACATATTTATCCTATTTTCTATACATATTTTTATATTATTTAATATATAATAATATATTATTATGTTATTTAAATAAATATTAAACGAACAGCTAACGAGTCAAGTTTCAGTATGTTTGGATTTGTTTATTAAGATTTTAACGAGTTAAAATTCGAGTTTAAATACAATAAAATTTTAACGAACCGAGTTCGAATGAGCCTTTACCGAGCCGAACTCGAGTTTGTTCGCAATCGACTCTGTTCATTTGCAACCTCAAGATATTTTGGGAAAATTAAAAAAATCAGATATAAACACCAACTCTAGGCTTATTAAAAATCAGATATATTTTCATCCTTTTCTATATGGGTTTCCATTTTTTCTCGGATTACTAGTGGTGGGGTTGTTGAATTGTTTTGAGCTTGTAGGTTTTCCAGTTTTAAGTATTTCTCTTTGATTAGATATGAGATATACTACTTTAGACATACAATACCCATCATTCATGTAGCTGGGATTGTTTGATACTGGCAGATTACTTATGGTTCAGTTATCAAGCTTATGCATGAAAAGACGAAATTCCGCTTGCATTCGCACGATGTGCCATATGGTTCGGGTAGTGGTCAGCAGTCGGTCACCAGTTTCCCCAATGTTGATGATTCTAATAGCTACTGGGTATGCTAATGATTTACCTTTTTTTTCTCTCATAAATGCATTATTTAGTATTGATTAAACTACGTTTGTTTTTTATTATAATGTAAAATGAAGATCAGCTTTGAAATTTTCATAATTGGGGACTTTTTTTTTTGGCTAGATTGTTAGGCCTGTGCCAGACTCATCTGCTAAACAAGGTGATACAATTAAAGGCGGAACAATCATCCGATTGCAACATATGAGGACAAGGAAATGGCTGCATAGCCACTTGCATGCATCCCCGATCTCAGGCAATATCGAGGTCAAATTTAAAATACAGCTTGATTCGAGTCTTCATTTTTGTAAATTCATAGTAGTTTTGATATGTTGTTGTGTTATTTGTTCTAAGGAAACCCGAGCATTCTGCTTTGACTTTTGTTTTGCCCTTCATATTTTGCTTAGCTTTGAACACCAACATGTACAAATTGAAGAACGCTATGGATACTGCTTTCCATTTTTGCCCCTCTTCTTTCATCAATATTTGGATTGTAATTATGAAAATCTATATGGATCATCACTATCAGTGAACTAAAATTATTCATTGCTTCATTGGTAAGGTGAATTTTATTTATAGTTGGTGCCAATGTTAAACTCTCATTATTGTCACGCTCCATTTTCTCAGCTATTTTGTTTCAGTAACATGGATCAGTTCTATCACCACAGCACTTGGTTGTAGTTTTAGTTTTGCTTATTCTGTTTATGATGCCTTTTATTATCATTATCGAGTGCCTTGATTCTGACTTAGTTTTGCCTGGCTTCTCTAGGACTCTATTTTCGTATGCATTGCTCACTACTTAAATGTTTCTTTATTTTCTCAGAGTCCTTAAACTGAGGCATTGATCCTTGGTTAAATCATGATAACAATTTGCAAAATTATGCGCTTTATGCAATAAAATTGTAGTTATTTTTCACGTATTCTAAATTTAGTATATTTAGAATGCACTAATTTCTAATTTTGTCATTCATATTGCACAATGATTCAATCTTCATCTACTCTTATACATATCTAGCTTGTGTGGTATTGCTTGCCCGAAAGTTTGGTGCTGTTCTGTTATCGAAGAGAAGGTGACAGTCACTTGCCATAATATATAGTTTCTGTATACTATAACTATCTAGAGAAAAGTGTCATTTCAAACATTTTTTTTATTGTAAGTCATGTTTTGGACTGTAGTATATCCATAACGTGACACAATAGGACATTTGCTTTAGAAACTGTGTTTTTATTTTGTGAGCAACATATGATCCTCGATCATTCTACTAGAGAAAAACCAACAAAAATGGGTGAGGATGTACTTAAAAGGATAGAACAAAATGCAATAATGCATGTTTGTAGTATCTATAGAATCACTTTCATGCTCGTTTATAAGTTCATTTTTTATTTCCACTAGATGTTGAGCCTTGAAGACTCAAATTAAGTTATATTGTTATGCTTTTGTAGGTGAGTTGCTTTGGAGGGGATCATGAATCTGATACTGGGGATTATTGGAGGTGAGATTCGTCAGTGACATGTTTGGACTTTAGAATTATATTCATACCTCTTGGTTTCATGCATGGTGTCTCTTTTCTTTTCTTTTCTTTTTTCCGTTCTCAGACTTGAAATAGAGGGAAGTGGGAAAACTTGGAGGCAAGATCAAAGGATTAGGCTTCGTCACGTGGACACCGGTGGTTACTTACACAGTCATGACAAAAAATTCACACGAATAGCTGGAGGTCAGCAAGAGGTAAAATTTAAAACCCGCAAAGTACAGCTGCTTACTTGGTGTTTCAGAAATGCATGCTTGTGATTATAAGCGCAGTACACCGTTTGACATTCCTGATTTGACATAAAATTTACATTGTTATTAGCTTTTTCCAAATATGAAGTAGGCTAATAACCAACTTTCCCTGTGTTCGAGTGTTGAGATCATCTCTGTTACAACTTTCATGTGTACATTTTGCAGGTTTGTGGCATCCGAGAAAAACGTGCTGATAATGTTTGGTTGGCAGCAGAGGGTGTCTACCTCCCAATTACAGAAAGCAAGTAAAAGTCACCTGGGTTTTGGGATCTTTGAATACTAGGATGTAGGATTTCAGTTTCTTGGAAGGTTTTTGTTGGTGAATCTTAGATGTATTTTGTTTTTGCTGTGAGGAAGAATCATAGCATTCTTGAGCAACATAAATTTCAGAATTCTATATATAAATGACAGGCTTACTATCAATTACCGCATTTAGTTGCTTGTAATGGTTATCAAAAACTATGAATACAGTGCAACTCTTGTCAAAAGGAAATGCCTTGCCTTGTTCTACTCTCCATGGTTATTGAACTTTAGACAAAATCTTCTTCTCTCTTCTCATTCTCATTCATTGGAGATGTTTTGGATGCTTTTGAAATATCACAAACAAATATTTTGGAATACTTTTGCATATCATTACATACAGAATATATGGGATACAAGAAACTGGTCTCTGGGGTGCTATTACCTTGCTGGAGAGTTGCTAAACAATGCCCCTATTTCAATTTGTGCTGCAATGCTTAGGACTATGATCCAAATCTCAAATTGTCTAATATAAAAGAAGAAACCAGTTTGCAACAGCAATACTCAAAAAGTAATCCAAAAAGCTTCTTTGAAATCTTCAGCAATACGGGAAAATAAAATGTCATCCAAAAAAGCATCCAATTCTATTCCAGGTCGAGAATTCAATCCCATGAACTAATACTATAACATGAACATACCACTGGGCATTTGGCACCGCCACAACTGCCTGTTTTCCAATCATTCATTAACATACCAATAATGCTCAACAAATGATTAATCAAAAATCAGGTTCCAAAACAACATTAAATATATCTTCAACAAGTTTGCAGAACCACAACCAAAAGCATAATCAGAATCCTTTGTATTTCTAGAGATATAGTCCACGTAACAAAAAAAAATTTCCTAAGTGAAGAGTCCTGCAATCCAAATGAAAACAAGGTTTCTACTCAAACTCCAACTCAAGCAAAATTGAATAACGCTTCATTTCTAGTCACTCAGTGCGACTTGATATACTCCTGAACAATATGGAGACCTTCGGTTTCTTCCCCATAATCCTGCAGAGCAAACCAAGAGGGTGAGCATCCCACAAAAACACAAGAGGAAAGGAGTAGCATAATGCTTGTTCATACCTTCACAACAACACATGAACAACCCACAACCTTCCTAGCCTTTCCTTCTGAATCAATCTTGCACAACTGCATGCCAAGACCACAATAAAGCATCATAAAGAGTAATATATTTACAGTTCATCAATTAACAGTCTGATGACAGGCATGAGTGTGGGGTTAGATGTTGGTTTTAAAAGGGGAATCCTATCCACGGGATTTGAATCCGAAGCCTCACACCACAAAGTGGTGCTACACAACCATTTGGTCAAAGGCCTTGGTTGACAGGTATGAGTTGAAGGGATTCAACTTCTTGTCAACAAATATCATTACCACACTTGAGCTGAATAATTTGTTTTCCCATTGCCAAGAATAAAAAAGGGTGAACACATTACTTCACGTGGAAAATCAAAACCCCAAACAACGTAATTTATGTATATTATAGTTCTCAAAGTCCATTGGTCTCATTACTAGAGCTCAACAGACCCCGCTACTATAATCACACTCAAGTGAACAAACAGCAGATTTGAAAATCATACCTGTGTTAACAGATAAATTGTAAAAAGTGGGAAAACCCGCAATAATACACCACAACAGATCTTTGGCAAATGCCTTGCATAATAAATGAACCATTGTCAGGAAAGAAATGAATCCCAAAATATAACTACCGTTCTATCTAAATTATAGTAGGCGTTTTTTTCAAAACAGTCCCTCTCCTTAATTCACTATTTTGGGTTGATTAATATTGTTTCTTCACCCTAACAACCCGTGAAACAATTCGTACATAGTAATCCTTTTCAATCAAGCGCAAGGTTGTAACAAACATATTAACATTCTTGAGGCTAACACAATAAAAGAGCACTGCAATTTCCATACTAAAAGCAAATATAGAAAAGACATGAGCCACACAATCAACCAGCCAAATTTACAAGAGAGATAGAAAACCAAAGGTTAAGAATTAGTAAACTAGTGATAGATTTTTACTTACACCAGCCCACTCGCCGAGAGTCTTAGCACTTGGAACTGTTATCAGGCTCACATTGTGGTCAGCACAAAGTGCTTTGACAAGTTTAACATAATCTGGCTGGTTGCAGTCCTCTGCCAACACACACAGTTGGGCAGCATGCTTCTCAATCACCTTAGCACCTTCATGAAGACCTCGAGCAACCCCGCCATGAGCCAATGATTTCCTCAACACAAGCTGCAAGGCTGTCATGATGTCCATAGGCTCGCCAAGAGCTGGAGCAGGTGCGGGTGCCTCAGCTGCGACAACAACCTCTTCACTGGAGGAGAGAAATACATTGAAAAAGAGTGAATAACATTATCAAAAACAAATCTCTTTCTTAAGCCTTAGTCACCTCCTTTTCTTTCTGCCAATTTTGTCGATTTATTTGGTATACAATGTTGTATTCCTTAGAAGAGTATCCCGAGAATTACGGGCAGTTCACTCAAATGTGTGTAAATCGCTTTTTGACGTGGCAACTAGGACTGTGGGAAGAGAGCCGGCGGAGAGCTCCGGTGAAGTTTGTTCCGGTGTACGAAGATCAGAGGGCAAAAATATCAAAGCTAAGGTGTCTGAACAGAAGGGTTAGCAGAGATAACAGATCCTGTAGAAGTGTTCGTATAAAAGATTTGGAGTTATTTATAAAAAATTGAAGGAATAGGAAGCAGCCATTACCGGACCCCCCTTGCGTACCGGAGGTCAAGGACACCGGCGGGCAGTGGATATAGGCGTAGTTACTGTAGTCGTGCACCTTTTAAGACCTAGTATGTTCGCAGACGGCACGTTCAGAATATTCCTCGATTTATTAAGAAGACTAAGAGGGGAGTAAGGAAATTACAGCTATACGACGAACAATTAAGGGACGTTAAGTTTGATAATAAAGGCGTGGCGAGATTACTTAATGGTATTGAATTGGGTAATAAGAGATCTGACCGTCAATCAGACAAGATCGTGGTTAAGGGTATCAAATTCATTGGTAAAGTTCAATTGGGACAAGATGCTAAAGACGAAGCTGTGGTCCACCACGTGTTGTTTTTTGTCATCAGTGATAATAGTCCGTCACATTCCGTCCCTATACCTGACAAAATATTTATTGGAGTTGGCGAGGGTAATCCTGAGACCTGAATTGTTGATCCTGATCAGTCCGACTGTTTTCGGATGCTAAAGAAAATGAGATTCAAGCTCGTTGGTGGCAAGGACAAAGAGTACGTTCGTCACGGGATAGAAGTTGTAGACCGGTTCTTCCCAATTGATGTTTGGACGGACTACAAAGATACGCTGTTGAAAAATGTTGGAAGCATTCAAAAGGGTGCCATATATTTAGTGGTTGCTACTGTTAGTGGAAAGGAATGCAAAATTAATTTAAGGAGTCAAATGTACTTTAAAACTGTTTAGAATTGTAATTTGATGTATTTTTATTTTTAATGTTCAGGTTAATGGAGGTAGACGATATAAAAACTGGGGTTGTTGAAGGTGTTTCGGCAAGTGATTTCAGTTGTATTGAACTTACGTTGTCTAATTTATTTTCTCAATTGAGGTTAAGATATAAACAAAAAAGTATTAAGGTTGATAAAATATTGATAAAATATTCTCCCTTTGCGCACCCAATGCTAGTGGGTTGGTCAGAGTAAATGTTTATGATTGGAGGTTAGACGGTAATGACAGTTTGCAGGCATGGTTTATTTTTATTTGATGTATTTTTATTTTTAATGTTCAGGTCAATGGAGGTGGACGATATAAAAACTGGGGTTGTTGAAGGTGTTTCGGCAAGTCATTTAGTTGTGTTGAACTTGCGTTGCCTAATTTATTTTCTCAATTGAGGTTAAGATACAAACAAAAAAGTATAAAGGTTGATAAAATATTGATAAAATATT